ATATATATAAAAATAGTGTTAATATATGAAAAGCATTAAATGTGATTACATATAAGTAGTATTCAAAATAGGTAAATAAAACACATAGTTAATAGTGAATGAATACTTGTATATCACACAAGAATTACTTAGGAATTATAATTAAAACACTATGAAGTGGAATATACATACAATGCTAATATAGCAAAGAATAAAAATTGACAGAATATACAATATTATAGTATGAATTAAAAATGATACCGAAATCAATTCACAAAATGTATCAAGTTTTGTAAAAAATTATATTTTAGAATAAATGGAATTAAAATACAAATAAGATGCAGCAAAAATATAGAATAGAATTAAAACATATAAGAAGTGAGATAAGACAATAAAAGTATCACACAATCCAAAGTGTCAGGTGGCAGAGGTAACCAGGGCACAGTATGAAGTATCACTCTTTGCAGATATTGCAAAGGCAGATGGGGCAATGCCAGGAATGGACCAGCCTCCTGAATTCTTTGAAGTTTTCAACTTTTCTGAAGTCATTTGGGAGACTGTTCCACACCCGGACGGCCTCAAAAGCAAACGATTTATGTCCATACTTCACAGTGTTGACCCTGGGCACCTCTGCAGTATTTTCTTTCCTGAAGTCATAATTAGACATCTTAATATTTATAATATTATGAATATATTCAGGAGAAACTTTGTTTATAATTTTAAAAACCTCACAACCCATTTCCTTCAGACGCCTTACATATAGCCTGTCCCTGTTGGTAATACTGAGTCTTAAAGCTCCTCCTTGTATCTTTTCTAGCTTTCTGACACTCTTCATGGAACAAAAGTGCCAGACTAAAGGACAGAAGTTAAAATTTGAAACAATAAATGAATTATAAATTACAAGTCTACCTTGTTTGGTTAACAAAAACCTCCCAATTCGCTTGAAATTGGACAATTGTCTTGAGGCTTTCCTACAAATTTCAGAGATATGAGCTTCAGAGTTTAAAAATGAATCAAAGTTCACACTTAAAAGTTTGACAACACTGTCAGGAACAATATCTATTTCGCCAATACTAAAAGACTGTATAGCATCTACCGAACGTTTCCCTATACAAATGGCCTGGAATGTATCAGGGTTTGCTTTCATCTGGTTTAATTTAAACCAGTCTATTACATTTTGACAGTCATTTTCAATATTATGTTTTAAAACATCTGGGTCTTTATTTGATTCACTGACAGTGTTGTCGTCTGCATAATTATATATTTTACAGGATCATATAAAAATATATCATTTACAAATATATTAAAAAGCAAGGGTCCTAAAATAGAACTCTGGGGTACCCCGTTCAGCACTTCCAGCCGGTCACCGCATTTGGAGCCAATTTTTACCTGCTGCTTCCTGCTGCTCAGGTAGCTGGACACCAGGTTAACTGAGGCTTTGCTCAGGCCATAGGCCTTCAGCTTCCCGACCAACAAGTTATGAGGAAGACAGTCAGAAGCCTTGGATGGGTCCATCAGTATGGCAGCGACATACTCATGGTTGTCCAGGGCTTTGAGCCAATCCTCAACAAGTCGCAACAGGGTGGATTGACACCCAAATCCTGGTCGGATTCTGCAAGGAAAGGATGAAAAACATTACTAAAAAAAGCAGTCAGTTGATCACACATGGTTCTTTCAAAAAAAATCGATATACAAGGTAAAATGCTGACTGGTTGGTAGTTTTGTTTCTTAAAAACAGGAACTACCTGTGCCTCCTTGAGTCTGCAAGTGAACTCTGATCTATCAAAACAGTGGTTAATCATGTCGCTCAGAGGCACACTGATGTCAGTACAACAGGCTCTAAGGAGTTTTGAAGATATGCCATCGATACCAGTGGTCTTCTTCGCCTTCACCTTAGAGATAGCCTTTTCAACCACGAAAGGAGAGACATGATTAAAACAAAACTTTGACTGATCATTGTTGTGTGCCCTTATCTCTTTTAAAATAGTTTCATCAGAAGAATCTTCTGTACCAATATCAGAAGCAACATTTACATAAAAATTATTAAAAACATTGCTGACCTCTGTTTGATCACTGATAATGGCCTCATTTTCCTTTAACATTACATCATTGCATTGTGCAGAGCCCTTATTTGATAAAAATGGTTTAATGGTGGGCCAGAAATCTTTTGATTTGGGACCACCAGCACAGCGTTCGAAAAAATAGTTGCGCATAGATTGTTTACGTAATTTACACACATAATTTCTATGGTTACGATATGACTCCCAATTAGAGGCTGATTTGCAACCAGTATATTTGTTAAAAAGCATACGTTTCTTATACACAGCTTTACGCAAGTTTGAATTAAAAAATGGACACCTTTTCTATTTTACTACTTTTTCTTTTACAGGAGCATGCTCATCAATAATGTCAGTGATAAGTTTTGTATGGGCCCAATAAATATCATCAACATCATCAAAAGCATAAGTTGCCTGGAAAGGGATTTTACTTATATCATCACTGAAAGTTTTTCATCAAAATTTTTAAAACATCTATATTTCCTCTTTTCTTTCATAACTGGTTTACATTTCCCTTTAAAAACAGTCCCAATCATATGATGCCAGTCACTAAGACCACAGTTAAAAGCAAACGTATTTAATAAAAAAGATGTACTGTTGCTTAAAATGACATCAACAGATGAGGTCTGCGAGTTTTTCATAAAACATGTTGGAGATTTAATTGTGTTTTTCATATCAAAGATATCACAAATATTGGATAATATATTGTCATTTACGTTCATGTCAACATTTAAATAGCCAACGAGCAAAGTATCATCATAATGTATGCTGACTCGATCTAGAGTCTGACATAAGTCGTTGTAGACAGAGTTTTTCGTATTTGAGGGGGGTTGTAAGCTCCTACAATGGCCCTAAGATCCTAAATTATATCGACCCTGTAGACCATGAACATATGTTTAAACCGGCATCAAATATGGGGACCAGGGGGCATCCAAAAAAGCTGTTCAAGAAACCGTTTTGCCTTGAAGTAAACAAAAATGTCTTCAGCAATAGAACAATAAAAACATGGAACAGTCTACCGGAAGTGATTGCTACAGCAATGAACCTAAACAGCTTCAAAACATTACTGAACAACCATAACATTACCAACAGGTCCAAATTCCGGGCCTCTTTTTACAATTAGTACCATGGACACCACATGTGTTTTTAAACTATGTGAATTCTTACTGGTCATTTGAGACCAAATCAACAAGTGCGAACTTAATACAGTACGTGTGTAAATACACGTGTGTTTCATATAGAGAGAGAACTGTTTTGTCAAGTTATAATGTGTGAGCAACATTACATATATATACCGCCACAACGCATCAATGTGTAAATAATGGACTTTTATCATTTTATGCGCAACCGGATGGACATTATCAATAAGTTAATGAAAAATAATCAATTAAGACATCCCCAAAAGCTAAAAAACTTACAACGATGTATATTACAGCGAAAGTTACAGCGAAAGATAACAGCCTTAGTCAGGGAGATTTTGTCAGAGAACAGCCCGGAGAGGTGACGTCTACGTTAGACGAGTGGCACAGTTATGGGTAGAGTATATGGTGGATTGACATGTCTCAGATGATGTGCTTTATGGGTAAGAGGTCGAGGCTGCATGGGAGCCAAGGTAACGTGTTGACATTTTTTTGGCAAAGATAGTCCATTGCACGTCTCGCCACATGGCACCGAACATTTTCTTATTGAAAGATTACGTTATGTTGGCGGACAAACGGCACAACGACAGGTTGTAGAATAACGTCAATGTACCGCTGAGCTGTCATATTGCCTTCAATGACGTCTAGGGGGGGGGGGGGGGGGGGGGGGGGTGTGCGGCCACTACAGATCCCACTCCACGCCATAACGCTGCCGCCACCACCAAACCTGTCACGTTCCACCATGCACTTATCGGCATAACGTTTACCTCGACGTTGAACAACACGCTGACGCCCATCTGACCGGTATAGCGTGAAGCATGACACTAAAAATATAAACTGTAATGATAATAAATTGTATGTAGATTTTTCTACGGTATAAGTTTGCATATAATATGTCATGTGTACAGTATTATTTTTATCATGAATGTTTGTATCATATACATGAGACCTTTACATCTTCATCCACACATATTGTGGCTGAGTGTAAATAAAAATCTTGATGTCTTGAATCTTTAAAAATATCGAAATCTTGAATCTTGCGAAATGTTCACGAAGTCGGACTTTATTAATATGTTGCATGTGTGAGTAATGAGAAACAAAATAACAATAAAGCATAAGAAGGTATTAAACTGACTGACACGATTATAAACTTTCAAAATATACACCACTATAGATATTAACTGCTAAAAATTGTTACTTCTTTCATTATTCTGAAGTTCCTATAACATATAATTTTCTTACACATTATGTTACATTTTATTTAATTACTTAGTATGTTAGATTTTTATATAAAAAATAAAACCGTATGCTTTGTTCTTATAGCCAATTATATCACAAAGTGATCTTTTTCTGTTTTTAGAATAACTCAAATTAAATAATGGTGAAATCTTCAATAGTTCTTATTTAATTTGGTATACTTTTTATTTATCAACATGTTCTATTTATCTTTGACGGTTTTTAACAGTGCAAGTATTTTCTTATGAAGTATTAATTATTAATTGTCATTTCCACAACAGTATATAGTCGTTCCGGAAACCACTTTGGCAAACAATTCCTTGGGTTTATCATTTATATGAGTGATCAAATGTTATCACACCATAAATTTATTTGTGATTAGTTGTTATCAAATAGTAAAACTATGATGTATTAAGGGAAATGTGACATTTTCAATAAAAAAAAAAGGCCGAAAAAAAAAAAGCTCAATGTATTTCATGTAACACTGGATTAGATTCCGGGCTTTACCTTTACCCTGTATTTGGCGAATGAAATCTGGGCCATCAGTACGTTTGCTCATTGACCATATTTTGATAAAGCTCGCGGTTAACACCGACTGTGGCAGCACGTGGAAGAACTTTTAAAATGTCAACAGAAGACAGCAAACAGCCGTCCTTTAAGAACCTAACGTCGAAGAACTATGCCGTTCCAAAAGAACATCAACATCTGGTATATACCACTTCGCTTCGTACCCAACTCTTTGAAATTACAGTTTGACTAATCACACTAAACCGTCTAAATACTGTGGAACCTCAGGTACCAGCCTCTGTCAACAGGTTACCAACTTCGTCTGTCAATACACCTTTAACAGGTCCAGTACACTCTGTCGATTGAGCTATATAGCTATATATACCTATACATTAAAGCTGTATTGAGCTATATTTTCTCAGATTTCAATTTTCATTTATTTAAAGCAAAGTCGCATAAAACAGTAAGGTTTATGGTAATGTTGACGACAAAAAGCATACAGTTAGATGTTTATCTTCATAAATGTGAAATTTCCGATTTTTTTACATCATTATTTTATAAAAAGAATCATTATATTTAATGTCTTTTGTTATCGATCTAATGATACAATCTTCTTTAAAAAAGAAAATCACTTGAAATTAGCTCAAAAGACCTATTTCAGATAGGTCAATAGAGCTATTATAGGTCTTTACAGCTATATATATATATATATAGCTCAATCAGCAGAGTGTACTGGACCTGTTTAAGATTATATTATAGGTGTATTGACAGACGAGGTTGGTATCTATAATCAGTGGCAATTCCGTGAAAATAGTAAGCTTTTTAGTCATTAAGATAATTTCGACTGATATACATAACATAAAAATAAATAATTATATTGGGGCAAACTGGATTTATGGTGAAATAATTATATGGGGGCAAACTGGATTTATGGTGAAACGATCCGTAGTGCGAACAGGATTTATATAATATATTGTTGGTCTGGTAATATATCCAAGCCTTGTTGGACTCGAAGCATTGCTGCACAGGTATAATATTTAATGATTTACCTAAATTTCCTCTGTAAGGGCCACACTCCTCTGTCCCCAGGAATGCCACATCTTCCATTTATACAAAATAGAGTCCCATTTACCTAAGGATGCTCTACATCAAATTTGGTTTGAATTCCTCCATTCATCGGAAGGGAGAAGTATTGCTCTGGTTATACAAAATTGAATCCCCTTTGGCTGAGAATACTCCAGGCCAATTTAATTCCACCAAGCCATTCGGGACTAGTAGGGTTTTTAAGGAAAAGTTGACAGACGGACGCTGCACCATGGCATAAGCTCACCTGCCCTAAAAACCAGATAAAACGCCTATGGAAACAGTGTATTTACAATACCATTTAAAGTTGTGTGTGGAATTAACATCCAAAAAGGACATATTCTATGAATCCATATAAATTATGTCTTTATCCTGGAGATTATTTTTGAGATATTAGAATGTAAATTCCTGAATCCGTTACCTGGTATATATATGGTATGTAAAATATTCTGTGAATCTGTCCTGTAACAATTTTGTTATTTGGCACTTTGCAAACGTATATTTTCAGGACCATTTCAAAGTCATAAAACATTTGTTCCACTGTGCACCATATAATTAGCTGTGTAATGGGGAACCAGATATATATATGGAGCTTGTGGACAGGTATGTTGCTTAATATATGTATTACTGGACCATATTTTTTTTCTTGCAGCCTTTGCAGGAACTGACCAAACCACATGTGGAGTCATTCAACTTTTTCATGAAAGAGGGCTTATCCATAGCAGTCAAGGTATACTAATAAATCATATGTTATTTTTTTTATTAAAAAAGGGAGCTTTCGTCCCTTATACCACTTTGTATTCAGAAATAAGCTCATGACTGATGATTTAACTACTTAATTACTCTCTCTATAATATTACAGTTCAGTAACATGCCAACAAATAATATTTCATTGTCCTGTAATAAATAAGCACTCCCTCCTTGTATGAGTCAGAGGTATGTGTTGGCCCCAAAGGTTTATTGCAGGTTATATACAGTATTCAAACTATTGTTTAATGTCCAGTTTGGTCACTTTGATACTATATAATACATGTTGTAAATGAATCTGTTATATAAAGTCAGCTAATGATCATTCTCGATAGTCCAGGACTTTTGCTCACTTTCGCTCTGTGCACCCCTGGAATATATCATAGAAGAATTAAAGGCATGTGGCTACTAGCTATTTTATTGGTCTCGGGTAAAAAAAAAAAAAAAAAATCGCTCGTGTGATACCTGTCCTTTGAAGATTACAGAGGAGCGACACCCGACTTCAAACCCTGTCAATTTCACTGTTATATTAGTTGACCGATAGATTGTTTTCATGTACATCAAAGGATAAAACTAGTCTCCTTGTCTCATCCACAAAGTGGTGCACACTGAGCCTTTGATTATTCTATGACATTCTTGTATTCTGGGGATGCAGAGAGCAAAAGGGAGTGTGTCCAACTTTATGATCTCAGTGAAGGATGTTTTCCCCGATTATTCATTTTCAAATGCAAATTAGATATTTCTAGAAAACATTGACTCAAATATTTAATTGAAATTGTAGCAAAAATCCTGATTTATGTGAATTATTTTATGAATCTGAGACATAGAATTTCATTCTTTGCATATATCCGAATAATATGATGGGCATTATTATATCAATATTTCACAGTACTTGTACAAAAGCTTCTTTTTTTTCCATGAAGAACATCCCTTCTACAGAATTTGCCCTACCAAATGGAGACCGGGTCAGGTTTAAGTTGTTGGTAAGTCTTTGGTATCATTGCTTCTTTATTCAATGTTTAATCGATCTTAGGGAGAGGGCGCTCATAGACTTTGCCTGTTGCCCATGCCAATGCCTTTGTATCCAAGATCTGACAATAAATATTCTGAAATGAAATCCTTTTGAGAGATATTTGCTCTTAAAGTATTTTTCAAACTATGGTTCACAATGTATTTAACAAAGGTTCACTGTTAAAAAGTGGGAAAAAAAACTATATATTCAAAAAATGTAATATGAAACATACTTTTTTGGTTTAATATTCTCAGATAACTTTGTAATATGAATGCAGAAGAATAGAACAGAAAAATGTATTTTAAATGATGAAAGGAAACACAAAAATGTTCATTGAAACATTTATGATAACTTTCCCTTTCGTTGCATGTTATCAGGATGCTACCTTATATGAACCCAGGGTTTCTCAGGGCAATCATTTCGCGGCAACACAGAAGGTGTACCCTGCAGAGGTAATGTATTTCTCATATCATAAACAGTACAACCATTTAACTGATTTCTGCACTGTTTCAGTGTTCCTACTGAATTATAGATTGGGGTTATATTTGATACATTTTCAAGAATTTGTATCCCTAGATACCCATGTTACATAAGGCAATTCTTGAAAACTTGGGGTACAACCAGCTTTTTGGGGGGTGAAAACCCCTCATTTCTGGGGTTTACAGGAACACTGTTATATTTGTTAATTTATTATTCACCTAGTAATGAAAAGAGACAATATGTAGCTTATTTCTTTACCATTTAGCCTGTTAATACATCCAATATTCTTGTCTGAGCTATGATTTCTGAAATTGGTCATTATGTTTTGATGCAGAGTCATAGATGGATATATCTTGATATGATCAATTTGTTGCTAAATTGTAAGTACTTGTGTGCACACATTTTCAAAACTGACTTTAATCTACTTAGAATGGTCCGGTCAATTGTAACTGACATCCCGGCAATGCATAATCCTTATAAGTATGAACAGAAGATCCTCTTATTGCCGTGGTCACTGGTCAGGTGATATAATGAGTTGTGCAAAGTCCAAAAAAATGGCCAGAATGGCTTCTTATTAGTAGATATTTTCAATTGTCTCCAGAATAAGAAAGATATAGATCATGACTGGCCAGTATGTGTTGTACCATTATCATATATGTAACCCGAAGGTCAAGGTCACAGCAAATCTTAAAGAAAACTTCTCAACAGGAATTTCAATACGATTGTTTATTGTGACAGTGACACCAGAATCTATGCTATATTATGGTAAATGAAACCCTGAAAATGTTTTGAACCCAGTGTTTTTTTATGAAGTTGAGTAAAACATAGTAGCTAGCTGATATGTTATTGGTATGTATGAATTGGGAGATGGTCAACATATTTATATATTGATATTGTACTGTAGTGTCGAGAGCGAGGCGTCACGTACCGAGGGGTTCTACATATACAGCTGATGTGGTCCGTCAACGACAACATTAGTGGGACGTTAGACAAGGAAATTGGATACATCCCCATCATGGTCAAGGTAGGCCACGAAAAAGGTCATTCAGGTCATATAAGGCCAATGTCAAGACCGTTGTCTTCAACATAAGCCTCTTTGATCCAGCTTGGAAAACTTTGATTAGAAAAAGTAAAAACGTATTCCTGAAAAAGAATGGCTGGTTACATGGACAATGAGACAATTGACTGGAATGATGAGGCTAGATAGTTTTTGAAGTAAATTCTTGCTTTCATGCAAATAAAATTTCACAGATGATGGATTATAGAGCTATATGGTAATAAATAATGCAGTAATGACTGAAATCTAGCACTTGTAGATATACTAGCAACCACTTGAATAGGGAAAAGAAGAAGTGATTCATTATCAAAGAGTTTCTATTCAAAGACAAAATACGATATGAGATTATGATTAAGAAGAGAAAATTAAAGATATAAATTTAAAAATAATGTTTGCACCGTAGATTTAAACTTTACAATTCCTATGTCATGTCATTGTTTTCTTTTTGAACTATTTGGATAAAAATTCAAAACAAATGAAGGTTTAATTCAAAATGAAATTGTTTAGTCAACCCAAGTAAATTTATTACAAATCAATTGTGTTGATATTTTTGTCTTCATTTTTTTTTCAGTCAGATGGCTGTAACTTGAGTAAACTAGGTCCAGCAGACCTGATAAAGAGAGGCGAGGAAGCAGAGGTATATTATCATGTTGTTTTACTTTATAATGCACATGTGTAACCATTGTAATGTAATATTAGCTCACCTGGTCTGAAGGACCAAGGTGAGCTTATGTCATACCGTGGTGTCTGTTCACTGTCTGTCAACGATTTTTGTCAAACAACTTCTTCTGAAGTGCTATTTTAAGAATGACCAAATTTGATTGAAAGCATCCCTAAGAGGAAGGGGTTAAACTGTTTTACACAGTTTGTGCTGACATCCTCAGAGGGCTGAGGGTTGGGGTCAGAAAGTGGTAATTTGGCCATATTGCTTTAACAAATTCCCCATTTGAACTGTGAGGTGTATATCAATCATGTTCAGTAGGAAGCATCCTTAGGGGTTGGAGATTATAAACCGTACAAATTGAGGGGCTGACCCCCAGCGGGCTGAGGGATGGGGCCAAAAAAGAGTCATTTTCGAAAACAGTCTATGGTTATCGATCTTCCTGACTCAATTTACCAGTCTTAGCATCTTTCAAGACTTATTCATGGTTATCTTTATTTAGATTGTATGTTGCCGTAGCTCAAGATTCCTCTGGTGCCAATTTCAGACTTTTTGACATTTTGAATGATTACTGGTAATGTACATGTCTGATGAAAGAATTAAGATCTATATTGTCATCTCAACTTTGAGTTGTGATTTCGTCAATGTGTGTCAATGCTGTCATATATACATTTTTTCTAGCCAACTTTTTACATGCTGTCTGTTTCCAGGAGATGGGAGGATACTTTGTAATTAACGGACTGGAGAAGGTGATCAGGATGCTTGTAATGCCAAGACGTAATTTTGTACGTAAATACTTATCACTAGGCTCAAGTGTTGGCCTAGTTTTCATGTCATTATTGTACTCAAGTGAAGTAACTTGTTCCTTTGGGAATGTCAAAAGCTTTGACTGCAAATAGCCAAATGTCATATTATAGAATTTTATATATGTTTTGAGAAACTCCGGTTCCAATATTTGAATTAATTTTGAAAAATTACAATGAACTTGATTGAATAATATTAAATCTTAAATGTTTAAGGTTTAAGAAATTGACAAACAATGTTTTGGAGCTAAAGAAATCTTGTGTGTTATTTTCTCCTTTCTTTTTAATGGCCCAACTGTATAAAATGGGTCTCAGTTCTTCAGGTGTGGGTGATTGTCTCCCTTTCTCTCCAATAGCCCACCTGTATGAAGCGCCCCTCATGGAAGAACCGTGGCAAGCAGTATACAGAATTTGGTGTGTCTATCCGATGTGTTCTGGACGATCAGAGTGGCATCGTAAGTCTTCTTGTTGACACGGAATGTTACATTGGTCTTGAGTAAAGACAAGACTAAAATTTTACCCTGTGGATTCGTTCTTGATTTACTTTAGAGAGTTGATAAACATTTCAAACATTGTCAAAAATGGAGAGTGGAGACAGAACACAGGTAAAGAATAATACAGCTTGACAGGTTACATCTAAATACAAAAGCTTTCAGATATATCTTCATACAGTACATATATCATTTTAAACAGACACAAATGCATTTAACATTAGTTATGATTAAGTAGGTCACTGTGACATTGACCTCAATTCAAAAGGCCAATTAAGTTCAAAATGTCTGGGGCGAAATCTGTCCTTCGCTGAAAGGTTTTTACTGTCTTAGTATATCATGATGAAACAAGAAGTATACTTGCCTGACCCATAGCAGGTATACAAAGTATTGTATTTAGATCACCTAGGCCTTCATCTCTAAGTTGTTTGTGGAAAAAAATATATACTTATAATAATTGAATTTCCATTGTCAAGTTATTTAGTCATTGACAAGGTCTGCATGCCGGGATTAAATTTCTAAATCAATGTATTAGAAATGAAAATCAATATTCAGATTTGAATTGTTTACTGAAAACTTCAGTTCACTGAACGCTCGCATACATATACCCAGCCATTGTAAATTATTACTACTAAATCACTAGTATCACTGGCCAATGAAAACAGTTAGTTACTGCGAGTTGTGTACAAATCCTTGCCCCTATTGAGTTTGATCAGGTTTACAGTATAGTGTTATATCTACTGATGTGTTTGTTATAGACCAACATCCTCCACTACCTTTCTAATGGGATGGCAACACTTAGTTTTACCTACAACAAGGAGATGTTCTTTGTACCAGTCGTCTTCATTCTCAAGGTGAGTATCGCTATCTATATAACTTGTCCTCAACTTCCGATACAACAAGGTGTTCTTTGTACCAGTCGTCTTCATTCTCAAGGTGAGTATCGCTATCTATATAACTTGTACTCAACTTCCGATACAACAAGGTGTTCTTTGTACTGAAACTGTTATAATTTCTAAAATTTTGTCTTATAAAACAGTGACAGTACCTTAGTTTTTGTTTTGGAGTGTTTGTACATAGACTTTATTACAGTAAACTATTGAAATATCCCTTCATACATCTTTATGTCTTGTTTAATTTGACAGGCCCTGGTGAAGGTCACAGACAAGTACATCTATGATGAACTGATTCAGGGCAAGGAAGACGACTCCTACTATAAGGGGTAATTCATGTATATTATTCCTGTTATCAGGAGAAATATGTACAGTGTTCCTGTTAGATTAGGGATATATAGATTGATGACAGAAATGTTTATATTACAGTCAATGCTAGCTACAGGGAATACAGTGTAGCATACATTTTTATCAGAGTAAACATTTACTTTACATTGTAATCTTAAAAGTGTAAATGTTAAGTTTGGGTGGTAATTTGGGGTTTCTTGTTGATCAGATGTAGCATGAAGAAATAAAATCGAACTTTTCTCTATTGTGCGTAAATATAGAGTAGTGAAAAGTTTCTATATATTTGTCCACTGTGTGCTTCAGTAGAAGTGGGGTGGAACACTTACATAAAGAAATTCATGTCTTTCAAAAGAAAACGCTCAAAGGGGACAGTAGGAGGAACACATATTTATTATGTAGTCCCTCAGTAGTACTAACAAATGAGATTTTAAGTTTGCACCCTCTCTGTCTGTGATTCACTCTATCAATCTGCACATATCTTTGTCTTGGACTGGGACTCTTATATTATAGCTGTCTCCTACAATTGTCAAATTTTGTATATGAGATGGCAGAGTGGTCCATACTAAAATCAGGTCTTGTGCTCCTTTTTAATTATTATATACTGGTAGAGATTATTGACCTGTGTTGATTTTTCCATTCAAAATTGTGTCCGAAGATGGGGACTATGAATTTCTTTGCCTTGTATAAACTTGTTCTGTAATGCTTGTATTTCCTACCCAAATAACTGGTTCTAACAACGAGACCCTGTGTTACCAGGTGTATGGTAGCTATGTTACGACAGGCACAGGATGAGGGCCTCCTCACACAGTCCAGCATCCTGAATCTCATCGGCGAGCGTTTCCGCATCAAACTTGATCTTCCGATATGGTATACAGAAACTGAGGTTGCTAACTACCTTCTAAAGTAAGTATATGATATATAGATCTTTGTTAATCTGTAAGTGCACAGAGTTATTATGGAGGTATGGGAGTTTGGGTTATTAGATATCAGAAATTTTGGTTGTGGGGTTTAGGGGTTGTTGGGTGTTGGGGTTAGGAGTAGATGGGTACATACTACAGGCCTTGGTTTCTGGAGGATGAAGAGTTTAGGTTGGCAGATACCAAAGTGTTGCTGTCGAGATTGAGGATTAGGTTTTGCAGAAAACAGAGAATCACAGAGATTGGGGAATTTTGTTCACAAGACTAAGAGATTTTGTTGAAATTAGAGGGACTAGATATTGGTCAGTAATGTGCTGACAGTCAAGAATCTTAGGTTGGCAGACATAAAAATAATGCTGTAGAGGTGGAGGAGGGGGGTTAGGGTTGGAAGGTGATGAAAATGTTTTCTGGGTATGAGGTATGACATATAATATGAATATGAATGTTATGTTTCATATATAAATTATTGATATTACTATTAAAACCTGATGTAACTTTTTTGTACTTCAGACACTGCATAGCAATTCACCTGGAATCCAACACTGATAAGTTCAACCTGTTGTTGTAAGTATGGCCTGTTACCTCGCTGATTTATAATCATAAGTTGCAGTGAAAATAACTTCAAAGGACTAAAGGAAATTTTCAGAATTAGTACATGGAAATCACTATTCATTTGAAATCAATTTTTAAAAACTTCTTACAAAAAAAAGATTCTTAAAAAAAACTTCCTATTCATCTCTTCTAAACTTTTAGGGTGATGTGTAGGCTTTTGGTCATGTTATAAGTCATTTCTGTGTAAGGTTTACTGTCAGCGTAATTAATTTAACCATATACATTTCTGTCACTCAAAGTGTAGATAAATAGGGGCCTCATTTGTTGATGGCATGATCTGACAGTGTTAACCCATGCCTGGAAGAATGATTCAGAAAATAATTGACTCAGAAAACGTACAAGTTTAATACCTAGCATGTAATGAAACCGTCTATATGACTAATTTCAGTGTACGGGTAATACAAAATGGTCTCATTATAAATGGTACTCGTTGTAATGATCTGTTGTTAGATACATGACGCGGAAGTTGTTTGCGTTCGCGCGGGGAGAATGTGCCGAGGAGAGCCCTGACAATACCATGTACCAGGAGGTGTTACTCAGCGGTCATCTCATGTGTATGTTTGTAAAGGTGAGTGAGAAATGATGACAAGCAATATAGATCACATACATTAAACAGTATACACCAGATCAGAATAGGGTCACTTGCTGGTGACCAAACCCCTGATTTCTCAAAACAAAAACACAAATCGGATATTAAACATACAAATCATGTTGAAATGTAAAGAAAGATTATAGACAATTCAGGTAAATCTTTAAAATCCTTCTCCTTCTGCATGGACCAAATAATGCCTAGAACATCCTTGGGCAAAAGGGACTCAATTTTGTATAAACGGAGGGTGTGGCCTACCTGAGGGCAGAGGAGCGGGACTCACTAGGGGAACTTGAGGTAAATCTTGAAAATCCTTTTCCTTAAGTATTATTCAGTGGCGGATCCAGAGATTTTTTTTCTCTGGATCAGTCACTGTGATTGGAGGGATTTTAACCAAATTGTGTGTAGAGTATCCTTTGGGAAAGGTGATTCAATTGTATATCAATGGTTGGTTTGGCCCCCCCGGGGCAATTGGGGTAAGAGCGTAAAATCCTACTCTTTCTGTGTGATTTTAGGGATTTTAACCAAATTCGGTCCAGAGCAGCTGTTACAACGGGGACTCAGTTTTGTATAAACGTAGAATTTGGCCTCCCCTGAGGAGGGAAGGGCAGGGGCGCAATAGGGGGAACGTAAGGATCAATGGATAAAATTCTTATTTCATAGAAATATTAGAATTTGAACCAAACTTTGTGTAGAACATCTTTGGGCAAATGGGACTCCATTGATATTACCAGAAGGTGCAACCCCTCTAGTGGTAGAAGGTTGGGGCCCAATAAGGATACATTTTTAAATCCTTCCTTACAAATGGAGGGATTTTAATCAAATTTTGTGTAGATCATCCTTAGGCAATGTGGAATCAATTTTTTTATAAATGGAGAGCAGAGGGATGGGACCCAATAGGGAAAATAGAGGATAATCTTTAAAATCCACCCCACTTCAGCAGCAAAAAAGGGACCAAATTAGGGCAGGTGTTGCTGCGAGACAGAGCCAATATTTAGATAAAGTTGCAGTATTATATTCAATGATAAAATTTTCCCAGATGGTTGGTTATTTTCCAGTTGAATGATACAGGTCCCCTGGGCCTTTTGATACAATTTTTACGAGTGAAAAACCTACTCAATATTACGATTTTTAGAAAACCACTGACTAATAGCTGGTATCTGATTGTAGGAGAAGATCCATGACTGGGTGAGAAACCTAAAGATGCAGGTGGAGAAGGAAGCTAAAGTAAAAGACAAGTCAGGCAACAAGTACAATGTAGATGATGGTAGGTGTTTATATAATACTGTGACAGTAGATCTAGAGTTGTCCAGACTGTAGTAGACAAGACAGCAAGTACAATGTAGATGATGGTAGGTGTTTATATATCACTGACAGTAGAGTTGTCAAGACTGTAGGAGACAAGACAACTAGTACACTGTAGATGATGGTAGGTGTTTATATATCACTGACAGTAGAGTTGTCAAGACTGTAGGAGACAAGACAACTAGTACACTGTAGATGATGGTAGGTGTTTATATATCACTGATAGTAGAGTTGTCCAGACTGTAGGAGACAAGACAACAAGTACAGTGTAGATGATGGTAGGTGTTTATATATCACTGATAGTAGAGTTGTCCAGACTGTAGGAGACAAGACAACAAGTACAGTGTAGATGATGGTAGGTGTTTATATATCACTGACAGTAGAGTTGTCAAGACTGTAGGAGACAAGACAACTAGTACACTGTAGATGATGGTAGGTGTTTATATATCTCTGACAGTAGAGTTGTCCAGACTGTAGGAGACAAGACAACAAGTACAGTGTAGATGATGGTAGGTGTTTATATATCACTGATAGTAGAGTTGTCCAGACTGTAGGAGACAAGACAACACGTACAATGTAGATGATGGTAGGTGTTTATATAATACTGTGACAGTAGATCTAGAGTTGTCCAGACTGTAGTAGGCAAGACAGCAAGTACAATGTAGATGATGGTAGGTGTTTACATATCACTGACAGTAGAGTTGACCAGACTGTAGTAGACAAGACAACAAGTACAATGTAGATGATTGTAGGTGTTTACATATCACTGACAGTAGAGTTGTCCAGACTGTAGTAGACAAGACAACAAGTACAATGTAGATGATGGTAGGTGTTTGACATATCACTGTGACAGTTCTTGTGAGTTAATACAGAGTAATTGTTATGTCATATTAAGTGTTCTTGAAATGCGAAGTCCTTCCAATGGAACATCAACATGCAATATTTTCTCTCAAAGTCTATCTTTCTCTCTTTCATATTTTGTAACTTTTGATTTATAGAAAAATGATTTGTTGTAAATTTACAAATACGGTAAGATATTAGAAGGAGGTTCCTTTTTGTTGAATGTTCAACTAGTCACCTACTTCTGGCAGATTTAAAACTTTTATTTATACAATGTACTGAGGACTGCTAAATGGGGTTAAAAAATCTGATTATCAGGACTTTCCTGGTATATGTCTATTTGCATTGTAGTTTTCTATCAAGGAATGTGTGTCTCTTTATAGGTTCCCTGCAAAACTCTAGTCGTCGTGTCCCGTCCATTTCCAGGCCAGTGGAGTATTTAATGACAACAGGAAACCTCTTATCTCGGACTGGTCTAGGACTGATGCAGGTACGCAAAAGATGCTTTAAAGAACATCTAGTGTATATGGGTAGTAACTGTGTATCTAGTAATGGTTAAGTAGGACCTCTACTTTAACTGTATTTATTAGTTCCCCCCCAGTTCCCGGGGGGGGGGGGACTATAGGTTTAACTCTGTCCTTCTTTCCGTCCTTCCATTCCCTCCAATGAAGATTGTCCGGGGCATATCTTCTATGCTAATTCACCTGGAGTAACCTGATTTGGTGTACAAGGACATCTTGTGATGGCGGAGTGGAGAGTGCAAGAAGAAGGTCACTATGACCTCATTGTGACCTATGCTTTGACATTTGACCTTAACTTTTGAAAATGTTTGTCCGGAGCATATCTTCTATACTATTTCACCTGGAGCAACCAGATTTGGTGTACAAGGACATCTTGGGATATGACAGAGTCCAGATGTATAAGATTAAGGTCACTGTGACCTATGACTTGACCTTTGACCTTCACTTTTGAAAATGTTTGTCCGGAGTATATCTTCTATACTTTAACACCTGGAGTAACCGGATTTGGTGTACAAGGAAATGTTGGGATGATGGCTTGCAGAGTGCAAGAATTAGGTAACTGTGACCTATGACTTGACCTTTGACCTTTACTTTTAAAAAAGTTTGTCCAAGACCTATCTTCTGTACTAAAACACCTGGAGTAACCAGATTTCGTGTACAAGGACATCTTGTGATGGCAGAGTGCAAGAAGTATGTATCAGGATACAGGTACTTACCTAATAGTAGGCACATCCTGACGTAAGTGTACTGTTTGTTAAATATAGAAATCATTGCTGGTGGAGGACTATGGATTGCCTTGCAATACTTTGCCATGTTTATGATAAGGCAATGCTTGTTTTAAATTTCTCCTGTCTTTATTTGAACACATATTTTGCAAATTATTTTACTGGAAAATGAATTCTCTCGCATATAACCTCAGAATCTACTATCGTTTTTTTCCTTTTTCTAATAATATTCCACACAGAAAATTAAAGATGGATAAAAATGTCGAGAATGTCTGTTTCATGTAGCAATTTTGTACATTTTACCATGTAGTGTTAGGTCAGGAAACATTTAGATATATGCTACATTGATTATTTGCTTGTACCTTCAGGTATCTGGTCTGACCATTGTTGCAGACAAGCTGAACTTTTTGCGATACATTTCACACTTCCGATGTATACATAGAGGCTCGTTCTTCGCGGAAATGAGAACCACTGCCGTCAGAAAAATGTTACCAGAATCATGGGGTAAATAATACACCTGAACTGTTGTTAAATAATATTTTGTAAAAGAAGATTTATTTGAAGAAAGAAAGAACTAGTAGTTAGCTAGGATTTTTAAAATATCTTTTTATTATACATAAGTTTCTGAATGCAGAAAACTGAGGCAAAGATTTTAAGTTTCTTTTCTTATATATTGAAATTCTTAATCCTTCGCTACCATTATACGTTTTTTCACAAAAATAATCGTGTAACAACATATGTTTCCTTTGGTAATCTTAAATGTTTCTATTCCATGTTTTAAGATGATGAATATTCTTCAGTCAGTTTGATGTGATTAAATATTTCAGGATTTATTTGTCCCGTACACACCCCTGACGGTACTCCCTGTGGCCTGATGAATCACATGACAGCCCTCTGCAAGGTATACTGTAGTGTGACAGTTTTCTGACAATATCAAACAACAACGTTTTCTTTCGACTGCTCTATCAATCGCACTCAAAGATATACATAAAAACGCTCAAATTATGACATCATTGATCAAGAAAGGTGTACCATTAGTAGTCAAGTCGAGGGTCAAATTAGTGCTTAATTTCTTTTCTTGAAGTAAAATGCTTATAATAAAAAATTTAAAACAGTTAAAAAACCCAATATGAATATCAAGAGGAAATATATTGTTTTCATTCTGTTATCTGGTGGAGAGTATCAAACTTTGTTCTGGTAACTTGCCCAGACTTATTATCTTGTTAAATTTTTACTTTCACTATATTCATACATAAATAAATATTTATTGGTTTAATATGGACCTTTTTAGGATTTCCAGGTAATCATGCTGGAAAATATCAGTATATAACTTATATCATGACCAGTAGTGTTGTACAAAAAAAAATACTGTTTTGTAATCAAGGGGTCTGCATGGAGATTAAATCCTTGTTATGAAAGAGATTTTCTTTGTGAAGGAAGAAAGATATAATAAAGAAATGATTGTGTACATACCTCGTTGCTGATAGTAAATTGGAAAGTGTAATGTAAGAGTTATAATCAAGGGATAATTTTGGTATGTATTAAATTTTTACATCTGTTTGCCTCTCCACAGATCGTGAACAAAATCTACAGTAACGTCCACCTGCCAAAGTTACTGTGTTCCCTGGGAGTGACCCCTTTAGACGCCCCACCCATGGGAAAGTACAATGACAACTACCGAGTCATCGTGGATGGGAAAATCATTGGCAATGTACATTACAGTTTGGCGGAAAGCGTGGCACAAAAAATTCGGGTCATGAAAGTTGAAGGTCTTAACAAGGTTGGTACACATATCCTCACTGGGTTTAGGGTGTGTAAGACAAAGTCTGTACATTTTATAAGAAAATATAAATGTTTCATAAGAAAACATCAGTGTTTTGATTATACTTCTAAATGAAGGATATACAGTTTACTATCCATGTCTGTCTGCAAACAACTAATGCCACTACATTCACATATAAACTGTTTAGTTAAATAATGTAATGATGCAATTTGCATTAAGTGTTACATAACAACACATGTTGACTTATCGTTTTTATTCACTTCACTATCTCTATGTCATCCATGACGGATCTGGTTGCCACTAGATGGATAGCCCTTTAACATTATCTTCCATTAACAGCCCCCTGTCAGTCACTGCACAGTGTTACCCAAATCATAAGATTTGACCCCAATTGCACTTTTTACCAAAATGCTCTCTATTGATACCCACTATCTTTAATACATGTTATAAGATGGTTCCAATCTTTATCATTAATTGCCTATTTTACAGCCCATTTTGTTTTCAAAAGATAAAGCAGAGAATCTGATTTGATACCCTATTGATTCTATGGTACTGTATCAGTGGAACTGAACTAGTTCAGTGAGATCCTCTTAACATTAGCTACATCTTTAACATGTAAGCCACCATATACTATAAACATCTTTATTTTCACAAGTCAGAACTTTAGTGATTTTACTAAGACGGGGAAAATTGTGGGATCTGCTTTTCAGTGATTTCAAAATTGTAGCATTTGAAATGTTTAATTGTCAATCTGTCATTATTACTGTAATGAAAATACTGTAACTGATTGATCAAACATGTAGGTATACAATTGTGCTTCATGTTCAGTGAAAATGGTGTTTATTTGTGCTTTCTTTTTAGTTTATTTATTCTTATGTTTCTAGTGTTTTGGTTTGGTCAGTTATAGTACACGCCAGCTCGATAAGCTGTTCGTTTTCACAGAAAAGCTGTTGCTATACGAATATCACTGAAATAAGATCCATGCAAAAAAAGAATATCTTAACAGTATCCTAAATGTGCTCTACATTTGTGCTCGTAAAGGATATAATTGATGTTTAATCATTGTGCTATTAATTGACATCAAAGACTTTGAAATATTAAAGTTATGTTTAGTAGGCATTGTGAGTGACTCTGCTAACATTTTGTTATCAGTAATATTCATTAACCATGAGGATATTTTAGTTGAAGAGAAGCAGTAGTAATTTTAATTGACACGTTCTGATGATAACGCTGGCCCGACCTTACGTTACAGGTACCCCCGGTGACAGAGATCGGGTTTGTGCCTCGCACCGAGTTTGCCAGTCAATATCCAGGTCTCTTTATCTTTACGTCACCGGCACGGATGGTGCGACCTGTCCGGAACCTAAGTCTCAAGAAAAATGAAATGATTGGCACATTTGAACAAGTCTATATGGACATCAGCTTGAATGATGAGGAAACACACCAGCACCAAAAGGTCTGTACATTTTTGTTTAAAGAATTATTCAAACCATGCATGTTACACATGGAAATCATCAAAAACATTATTCTGTTTTTGCCTTAAAACATGAAATATTCATCAAAGTGAAATTACAAGTAGCTTTCTAATTTGTCAAAAATCAGGTTTTAAAAGATTCAACTGGCCAGCTTGTGATTGATTAAGATGCTCACACACCTAAAAACACTGCACTACATAACATATTATCTTTAGATGCTTCAGAATATTATCAACAATAAAAGACTTGGTCATAACCAAACATGCTTCTACAATGATGTAGTGATGTGTTGTGCTGTTAGGGTAGATCTTTGTACCAGTGTCAACATTTGCATGGTGAATTTTATAATGTTTGTGTAGAGGGTGACCCACCAGGAGCTCACAGAAATAGCGATGCTGTCGACGGTGGCCTGCCTCACACCTTTCTCCGACTTCAACCAAAGTCCCAGGAACATCTACCAGTGTCAGGTGTGTTCAGTGACTCACCCTGTTTCCACATTTGACGATTTTTTTCATAAATATCTTTTATGGACAATCAATTTAGAGCGAACTGTCAAATGTTGATACAGAAATTTAATGTCCGACATTCTAAAACATTGCAGGGGTCAGAGATTGAGTTATCAAGGACATATAACTTTTAAAGTTAATGCAGAATGGTCATTGCAAACTCTCCTAATGCTCAATTAAATCCATGACGTTACGTTTGAATTTAAAAAATCTGTGAAAACCAGACATATACAATTGTGTTCCGAGTTGTTGAAATGTACATTTTCTGGTGTGAAGATGGGTAAACAGACAATGGGTACTCCCGGTCACGCCCTGGGTCATAGGGCAGACAACAAGCTGTACAGAATACAGACTCCTCAGTCACCAATGGTCCGCCCCTACATGTACGACTATTACAACGTTGACGAGTACCCTGTAGGAACCAACGCTGTGGTGGCCGTCATCTCTTACACTGTAAGTATTCTTAACCCTTATATCAAGTCAGTAATTGGATCAATTAAATAGGATGTAGATTGAACACTGTAAGTATTCTTAACCCTTATCAAGTCAGTAATTGGATCAATTAAATAGGATGTAGATTGAACACTGTAAGTATTCTTAACCCTTATCAAGTCAGTAATTGGATCAATTAAATAGGATGTAGATTGAACACTGTAAGTATTCTTAACCCTTATCAAGTCAGTAATTGGATCAATTAAATAGGATGTAGATTGAACACTGTAAGTATTCTTAACCCTTATCAAGTCAGTAATTGGATCAATTAAATAGGATGTAGATTGAACACTGTAAGTATTCTTAACCCTTATCAAGTCAGTAATTGGATCAATTAAATAGGATGTAGATTGAACACTGTAAGTATTCTTAACCCTTATCAAGTCAGTAATTGGATCAATTAAATAGGATGTAGATTGAACACTGTAAGTATTCTTAACCCTTATCAAGTCAGTAATTGGATCAATTAAATAGGATGTAGATTGAACACTGTAAGTATTCTTAACCCTTATCAAGTCAGTAATTGGATCAATTAAATAGGATGTAGATTGAACACTGTAAGTATTCTTAACCCTTATCAAGTCAGTAATTGGATCAATTAAATAGGATGTAGATTGAACACTGTAAGTATTCTTAACCCTTATCAAGTCAGTAATTGGATCAATTAAATAGGATGTAGATTGAACACTGTAAGTATTCTTAACCCTTATCAAGTCAGTAATTGGATCAATTAAATAGGATGTAGATTGAACACTGTAAGTATTCTTAACCCTTATCAAGTCAGTAATTGGATCAATTAAATAGGATGTAGATTGAACACTGTAAGTATTCTTAACCCCTATATCAAGTCAGTAACTGGATCAATTAAATAGGATGTAGATTGAACACTGTAAGTATTCTTAACATTTATTAAGTCAGTAATTGGATCAATTAAATAGGATGTAGATTGAACACTAAGTATTCTTAACCCTTATCAAGTCAGTAATTGGATCAATTAAATAGGATGTAGAATGAACACTGTAAATATTCTTAACCCTTATCAAGTCAGTTATTGGATCAATTAAATGGGATGTAGGGTGAAGGTTATTTATAATTACATATTAAGATAATTTTCTTCCAGTAAACACTAATAATCTGACAGCTGTTACAATATGCAAAAACACTGGTGGGTCATTTTTTATACTGCACATCTGATGAGCTTGAACTACTTGCGATCGGTAGATATCAATTTCATGAAGAATTTGAAATTGCAGTCATTTCTGTCCATATTTACAATTCTTTACACTCAACAAAGTTGGCTTTTTACTGATTTACCTTCACATAAGAAGTATACATGCTCCTGTTAAGTGACCGTGTGTGACCACCAAATCATGCGACTTTCAACCTAAAAACCATATATTGGTCATAATTTGATATTTTTAGCTGAGCTCATACAAGGGAGGTACATATGTATCTCATTGCATTATTATAACTGTGTATCATTTATTACTCTATTTCTGATTAAAAATGGAATGAACTTTTTGCCAGTTCAAAAATATTGATTTCTTGGGGTGTCGGTGTTCTTTAGTTTATCTATTAGAGCTAACTCACCTCACCCAGTCAAATGGCTTATTATATAGCTTGACAGAGAAAGGGACCAAAAATGTTTAAATCAAACGGTTCCTTTGTACTTCTACATTCTACTTACCAGGGGTATGACATGGAGGACGCCATGATTCTGAACAAGTCATCGTTTGAGAGGGGCTTTGGACACGCAACAATTCACAAAGCAGAGGTGACTTAAAACTACATTACATTCTACAACTACAGTTTCTAGTAGATTGTACTCTCTACCTTAATCATCTTGTTAGGAATGTTAACTGTAAGTAGGACTGTATTATCTCAGTTGTGAGGAGTATTTGGTAGATTTGATTCTATGATAATTTGGTTCCGTCTACTAGGAGTAGATACATACCTGGTAAATTACCGGTTCTGGTGTTCATATGTACAGCTCTTTCAGTGATATCAACTTGGAATAGGATATGTACTATAATGAAATCAATTCTTAATTAATCTTAACAATAACTGATACTGAAACATGTCGGCATGAATGCCCGAGTAGAACTGTGGTATGAGGATTGAAAAAGCTTTTTCAGATTATAATCATCTTGTATAAAAAATATTTTTTTTTGCTTACATGGCCATGATTTCATTGCACAAATTGCACAGTAATTTGAATGCATGTCTTTTCTATGTATTACACTGCAGATCAGTGTCTTCAATGTAATACTCTCTATACTGTAAGAGTAGTGTATTTTCTGTGTATTACATTAAATTGTATACTGTAACAGATCTATTGATGTATTAAATGGTTTTTCAATGCTACAGATAATAAGTTTGGCAGCCAAAGACAATTCAAGCCGTGGCCAGAATTCAAATCTCGTCTTTGGTGAGTGATCTGATAAATTTTATTAATATACAGCTTTTCTTTACTTTGTATTCCCAGCTTAAAGCTGTAAATGTATTCACAATATTAATATCATGGTTAAAGTTGAAAAACTTTGCAACATTGTGTTAAAAATCCTCATTATTGGAAGAAATAACTAAGTCTTCTACCATACATCGATTTCGAGAACAACACAGTTTAACATTGCATTTCAAGGGAGCCAGAAGTATTTTCATACGTTTTACCATAATATGTACTCTGCAGAACTGAATTTCAAAGTTCACCTAACAGCCTTTGAAAAAAATTCTTGGCAACAACCATTCAAGATATTATTAGATTTCTTTTATTGAAGAAACAGAATTTTTGATATTTTACAATATTTTTCAGGCTGTAAAGGAGCAGATATGAAGCGCATAGAGGGCAAATTGGACAGTGACGGCCTACCCAATATTGGAGCTTATCTACAGGAAGGGGACCCCTACTACAGGTACAGTGGAGTACCGTAAAATAAAAAAAAAATATGGGACATTAAATTTTATTTCAGGGATAACAAAAATCCACAAAATTAAATCCCCACGAAGAAAACATCAATTTGGTATGATATATATAGGGGAAAATCAGAAATCAGCGAAATAAAATGTCTTTGAAACAGGCTAGTATATGAAAACCACGAAATTGTAACCCCACGAAAATAAATGATTCTACAGTACTTAGGAGTCTTATGATGTTTATTGCTATGTAAACTTGTGTTTATCTTCGATCACAAATTTAAGTACAACATGAATAATTATATGTAACATGAGATATACACAATGACTGAATGCAAAATTAACATCTCGGAAATAAGGACAGGAAGGTCAGTTTAATGTCAGAAAATCAAGCTTGAGCCATATATAAAAACTTGGTAATGTATTTTTAAACATGAATCTGTTCTTCATGGGAACATTGGAGTTTAACATTGACAGGGGCTATAAAACTTGTTAAAATGACTTTCTCGAGACCCAAACAAGTTTGCTGTTTAGTTTATATTGATGGTGTTAGTAAAAATGAATGAAAATATTTAGAACGACTTTCTGGGAACCCAAAGAACAGTTGGCTGTAATCACAGTTCGTGTCAGGCTGGGTGTGCAAATCTTTATCATCAACTATTTGGAAGGTTTGCAATGTCAATTCAGGTTTTAGAAATGCATTCCATGACAATAATGAGTATAAAATGTATATATATGAATATGTATTTGGTTTCTGTTGATGCTTATAGAAAAAGAAGAAACTAAAAACAAATTTGATTGTTATTAAGATTCTGAAAAAGATGCAAGTTCGGTACTTCAGTGTATAAATAAAAAATCTCGCTGCAGTTTCCCCGCACATACAATAACTTCTGTGTGAAGGGGCTCCTGGGTGATATAATTAGTATCCAAAACTGAAATTGTCGCTGTCTGCACTGTTGATGTATCTCCTTATATGAAGTGTAGAGTATAAAGCATTAACTTTTCGGTGCTCTCTGCTTACCCTTTCATTTTGAGGGCTTGGTCTAACTCATGAAATATAAATGTTTAAAAACACAGTTCTAAAGAATAGATTGAAAACTTTGAACCATGGTATGGAATAACATTTAACTTTAATGTGTTTTGAGCTTGTGTATTGGGTCTTCCTCATTTGTAATGTATACTATTACTATAGATAAGTGAAAGTCAGGTGAGGTTTTCAGATCCATGGAGCTAAGTTGTTCTTAAATCTTGCTATAGAATAAAATTAAACAAAAGAGCAAGCATTGCAGAAACCTATGTTTTTCAGTCTCCCTCATTAAAGTTACATCACAGTCAGATAGAGGACCAGTAATCGTTACGAGATGAATGTGACTGATATCACCAAGCAGCTTTGACCTGTGTGTATCATGTTGTTGATTGTTTCACAGCTACTACAACCTACAGACCGGGGAGTCCAAGGTGGAGCGGTACAAAAACGCTGAGCCTGCCCACGTAGACTACATAAAGATTCTGGGCAATGACCTAGGTACCAGCGAGCTCAATAAAGTCTGCATTGGGCTTCGGATCAAGGTTTGTCACTGAATCTTGTGTCTCACGTTTTAACGTAAAGGTACAATCAAATATACTTAACTTGGACCTGTCCAGGATGCAATGCAAGACCTTCGAGGAACATAGTATACTGGTGTAAGAGATATGTATTGGATTAGCTTGACATATATTAAAGACTTTGTATTAGATAATATGTTTAAAGGGATAATATTTTACCTTTTCTAAGATCATATTTAAACAGAGTAATGTTGTGCTGTAGATCTGTCAAATAGCAAATAGTAGTAGTTTTAGTAGTCTCGTAAGTGAGGTAGATACTACTGTCATCTTGTTATTTGCAAAAACAGCACAATTTGTTGTACAAAGTCCAATCTTCCCTCCAATTTTGCCCCATCAAACAATCGTCTTTCTTTATATAATAAACGTCGGGTTAATGATTTAAACACCAAATTATGACTTTTTATGACTTTCAGAAAGTTATAACACATGCTTGAAATCTGTCATCTGATAATGTAATTTACTGTGTAATTCAGATATTAAAGAAATGTTTAAGTTGTTCAAAGTGTGTTTAGAGTTCTGGTAAGTTTTTTAATTATTTCGTTAATATACCTTACTATAGGATCAGGTCTACCTTCAGAGTACTAAACTTTGTAAGATTTTCAAAACTTTACTCAAATCTGTATTACCTTGTCACCTAAATTGGTCGTGCTGGCTTGTTGGTGCTCATGTTTACTAATGTATTTGATAATCAGGGTATTTGGTAAACCTTAACATATTTTTGATCTAACAGAGAAATCCAATCATAGGAGACAAATTTGCCAGTCGACACGGCCAGAAAGGAATTTGTAGGTAAGTGTTGTCTACAATGTAACCATTTAGGTTTAAAATCTTTCTATATCATTTTCTTTGAGCATGTCTCTGTATGTACCTGTCATGTATATGGTACCAGTATCTGACCATGCTACTGTCTGTACGGTTTGTGTTCCAGCTATTGATGTCAGAACCAAAATTCATTGTCAAATCGTAGCTTCTTTCAGGTTCTGGACTTTTCTTATTTTAAGCATTATACCATAGATAGTTTTGACATATATTCAGTTCAGATGTTCTCAACCAGAGTTATCACTCCATTACCTGACAGACATAGAAAACTATTCCTTATATTTACTATTTTTTAAACATAAGCCTGATCAACAGATAAAAATTTCATTTCCAACATTTATAAAGGTGTGATCAGTTATTAAATAAAAGTAAGAGCCTGAAATTTGCATACCTCTGCTCACCTGTATTGTTGTTGTCAATGTCATGGAAACTCCCAGTGATCTATAGAAAGGTTGTGAAATATTTCCAGCTTATCGGAACAATGGCTATTGAGTGTAAACTGTAAAAGCTTTGTTTGACTTTTCAGTATGCTGTGGCCGGTGGAGAACATGCCTTTTACAGAGAGCGGGATGACGCCGGACATTCTGTTCAACCCGCACGGCTTCCCATCCAGAATGACCATAGGTCAGCTTGTAATTACATTAATCCTAGAACTTTGTTCTGTAGTTATTAGCTCACCTGGCACGAAGTGCCAAGTGAGCTTATGCCGTGGCGCGGCGTCCGGCGTCCGGCGTCCGGCGTCAATATTTTACTTTAAACGACTTCTTCTTAATAACCGAAAGGCCTAGGGTGTCAATATTTGGCCAGAAGCAAACTTGGATGAAGGGCTACAAAGTTTGTTCAAATAAATGACCTTCACCTATTTTCAAGGTCACAGGGGTCAAATATGTCAAAAACTTTAAACATCTTCTTCTCAATAACCAAAATGCCCAGGGAGATGATATTTGGCCAGTAGCATGCTTGGGTGAAGGGCTACCAAGTTTGTTCAAATGAATGACCTTCAATTATATTCAAGGTCACAGGGGTCAATTGTATTAAAAAACCTTTAAACAACTTCTTCTGAATAACCAAAATGCTCAGGGT